GAGTCCTTTAGCTCACCTGAGTCTCTCAGTCTGAGAGGAGAGGACTCTCCTCCAGCTTCTTGTGGAACAAACAGGTCCATGCTGGCACCGGTCCCTCCCTCCCCCTCTCTCTCTCTCTCTCTCTCCCTATCACACTAAATGCGCTATTGCCACACACACACACAGAGCCGAGCTTGAATGACACAAGCACACGTTTATTTCCATGCAACTCTCTGATTGGTCTGGTGTCATGCCTCTGTTGCATTCACTGAACACGGGAAATTACAGTGCTGCCGTCCTCTCTTGTGTCATGATGAGGTTCACGTAAAGCACGGTTAATGTATTATATTATTGAGGGAGAATTGTCCGGGGCTACAGAAAAAACATTCGGGGCTAAAGCCCCGGATGACCAGGCCAGGCGACGCCACTGGTGTGCGTAGATGCAGCGGACAGACAGGTCTCAGTTGGTTTGGTGTCCTCTGCTTACTTTTAATACTTGTAAATACAACTTTTGGCCCGTAATGTATTGTCCTCATTGTAGCGACCAGAGAGGGGAGAGGGGGGGGATATATCCAGTCTCTGATAGTGTTACGTTATTATGAGAGTGCTCTGTTTGATTCTGAAATTGTATATATTTATATAAATATATATATATATATATGTCTGTGTGTGTGTGTGTGTGTGTGTGTGTGTGTCCGCATCTGTAGCCTGTTATTGTCTCATTATACCGCACTGTCAATTAATTAAAAGTAAATATATAAGTCGTCATGAACACATCTGTCCATCAGACAGAGGGCTGCTGTGCCTCCTGTCATCATTAATGGATGTCTCTTTAAAATGACCGCTCAGAGGAGAGGAGTTCTCATTTCTCTAACCGCCTGCTGCTTCCCCTCCTCTCTCCTCGGCTCCTCCGCTCGCATCTCCTGTGGGCGGGACTAAGTCTCGAGGATAGGAGTCGAGGAGGGGAGTCGAGGAGGGGAATTTGATGAAATGAGAACGGCCCCGGGTGTGGTTTTTATTTTGGGGGGGGTTAAGTGTAGGTGTAGCTTATTTCTTGGCCAGGGGCTAAATAAATAGTTTGGCCCTTAACCTTTGGTAACCTATAAACAATTAACATTACTTTTAGTGTTCAGTTTCTGTACAGATTATAAAAAAAGTATACATCGTGTAAGTGAGCTTTAGAGGTTCTTGCCTGCAGTTTTGGCTACTTTTGTACAGTGCCATTTTTTTTATGCTAAGCTAATTAGCTATCGGCCGTAGTTTCATTTTGAACAAACAAACATGAGTGGTATTGAACAGTTCAATACCACTCATGTTTGTTTGTTCAATTTGAACTTCTCATCCAACTCTGGGCAAGATAGCAATCAAGTGTATTTCCCAAAACCTATTCCAACTGGAGGACTGTGGGTTAACTGTGGGTTAACACTGAGTAAAGGTAATCTTTAGCCGGAAAAACAACATTGAAAACTGAAGTTTCAGTGCATGTTAAAGACATCCAATATCAACACTTTTACATTGCCCTCCAATTTCGGAAGAATACCTGCACATCGTGGGTCCCAGAGTCCAGTGGTATCCTTGGAGCTGGTAGGCGATCTGAAAGGGCAGCGCAGCGCCAACAGCCATGTCGGTGAGGGTGAGATTAATCATGAAGATGATGGATGGGGTCTTTGGGGAGGTATGGAAGATGAGGAGCCACATGGAAAGGCCATTTCCTACCAGGTTGATGACAGTGACGATCATATAGATGACAGAGATGGTAATGCGGGTGTTCCCACTGCTCAAGAGGGCCAGAGTGGCGTTGTCTAGCTTTAAGTCGCTGTGATTGCCCATCATGAGTGGAAGGGAATGGCTTCTCGACCTTTAACGAACTCGTGGAGCTGATGGAAATAAAGCAGTTTCAAATACATCGTCATGTTATTGTTTCGTAATAATTGAATGCACAAACAAACGCCTGTAGACTAGACCTTTATTGAGGGACCATTGAATGCAGTCGTTCTTCTTTTTGCAAGTGCAAACGTGATTGATCATGCAGGTGTGAAAGAAACACAGAGCATTCTTTTCTCATTCTTTTCTCATTCTTTTGAAGCTCTGTGTTTTTTTCTCGCATTTAAATAGTGCAAGTGTGAATTGAGTTTTCACACAGGAAAAGACCTTCTAGAATTGTTGTGAACACCGCCAACCATCGTGTAGTTGTGACATAATGGAGAGTCAGGCGAGAACTCTAAGTGATAACATTATAAAAGCCTTGAAATAGTAGGTGAGACAAACTGTATTTGATTTGTTTGCTTTGCGATAGTTACCCAGTATCATTTTAAGGAACAAAAAACACTTTTCTTTCCCACGTGGTGCACATAGTGCTGGTGTTTTCAATAAACATTTTTTATGGAAAGTACCTAATACTACAACAAGGAACATCATTATGATAATGGTTACACTTTTTGGAATCACGTCAGAAAAAAACTAGGGCTGTCAGTCGATTAAAATATTTAATCGCGATTAATCGCATGATTGTCCATAGTTAATCGCGATTAATCGCAAATTAATCGCACATTTTTTATCTGTTCTAAATGTACCTTAGAGGGATATTTTTCAAGTTTTTAATACTCTTATCAACATATGAGTGGACAACTATGCTTTATATGTTTGTTTATTATCATTTGAACAATGACAAATATTCTCATGAATATTAAACACAACAACCTCTGAACATTACAAATATTCGCCTCAATTCAACCTAGAACCTCTCTCATACAATACTGTGTGTGTGTGTGTGTGTGTGTGTGTGTGTGTGTGTGTGTGTGTGTGTGTGTGTGTGTGTGTGTGTGTGTGTGTGTGTGTGTGTGTGTGTGTGTGTGTGTGTGTGTGTGTGTGTGTGTGAATGTGGAGGATCGTTGGAGCTATGTGCAGCTCAAGGCATATATGCCTGTGTGTATGAGCTGTGTTGCGGCACTATCCGTGCTGAGTGTGCTGTCTGGCTACCTGCATAAAGTCAAGTGCTCGGCGCAGTTGTCGGCGAAATGTCGCTCCTCTGTTTTCATTGAAACAGCTCCTTATATCCGTTAGCTCAGCTAGCTAGCACCAGATGCTAACAACAACACGTAAGGTGTGCTTCGCTCGCGCCACACATACACACACCCTCCCGGTCCTTCCGATGGCCAGTCCGGGCCTGCCGGTGAGCGTGGAAGTGTGGTCTGCCACAAGCGGGCAGCAGGACAGCCCCGCGGCTGTCAGCATCAGCTTGTAGATGGTATTTTAAACTCGATGCGCTCTGAAACTACGGCGGCCGAGGACAAAAAATACACATGCGTTAATCGCGTTAAAATAATTAGTGGCGTTAATTTTTTTTTTTGCGTTAACGCGTTATTAACGCGTTAACTTGACAGCCCTAAAAAAAACACATCGTATTGCAATAATAATAAAAAGCAAATATTTGTGTTTTTTTCACTCAAATATTTTTTTTTTTGTGGATTTGACTTATTGTCCATTTCTCTGCCAGGATAGTTTTATCGTATCTCTGTAATGAGACTAAGTATTTCTTTAACCTTCATGCCATGATGTATTTACATCTATACTTCACTTATTCATAACATACTGAAAGTGATTATCTTTCTGGGTGTCATTTGCTTCTGTATGTATAATTTACTAATGCTGCTCCTTTCACCTATTGTTTTCTTTTTGTGTGTTTTTAGTTTTTGTGTTAAAAAACGAAATAAAACATATTGGGATAATCTAAAACATATTGTGATAATCTTCTCTTTTGACTAAGGATATTAAGTAACTGAGCACATTTAGCATGGACAAATGTAAAGAATGACGCGTGGTAGTAGAACATGATAACAAACTCACACATGGAGCAGTTTAGGACCATTTCAAGTCAACCTTTAAAATGTACAAACATAAATATAAATATAAAGTTCTTCTTATAAATCCTTCTAGTCCTTATTAGTCTAAAAGATAGACAGTTAAACACTCACCTATGAACTCAAGGGCAGATAATCGGTGTCGGTTGTAGATGGAGGTACGGATATTATGTCTCCTGACAAAACGAAATTTGTCGTTTTACAGAGTCAAAGACAGGAAATGGATCATGTGATCTTTTCATCCCGCCAACGGTTGCAACAGCCACACATTACATTCAGTCTTGAAAATGACAGGTCTAAAACTCCCCACATGGTCACAGCATGGAGAACACACACATCAGGTGTCTCTTACAATGTGAATCATGAAGGGACTACAATCCCTAAAACTATATCTATACACGTGGGATAACTGAACAGTAAAAAGAGCCTATTTGAAAAAATAGGCTCTTTTTACTTAATTTGGACATTCTTGGGTTTTTCTGATGTGTGAAAGCAAAAGTTACACCCACTTTCAGTTTTAGTCATTGTCAGTCAAATCACTGCTGTGTGTATAATACCTGTAACATGTATTTGAATGCTGAAGAACAAAATCCCTATATGTGGATTAAGATTTAATTGTATAACCAAGAATAAAGGCTTTTAAATACTCAAAGTCACACATACTAGTAATCACACAATAGTACAGTACAAGCCGGTGTTGATACGTTTCACCGGTTTAGCTGTTATGGAAGTGGCTTCCTGTTGATTACGATAGTTCTGCTTTATGTGGGTGACAGTGTCACAGATGCTGTTAGAGTTATGTGCAATACAAAATCATTGTCTCGTAACAAGTATGAACATTTAAAGTACACACCCACTAAAGCTGAGATACTGCTGTGTAGTCATGTCAAGTACAAGTGACTCATATCTATCATTTTTTAATTCATAATAAGGACATTGCTGAAGAAAATGCTGCCTCACCCAAACAGTCAGAGAGCGTCCGTTAAAACAGAAACACTGATCAAATCTCTTATAACGGAACAAGAGTTTTATTGTAGCTGTTAGGTCATATGCAAAAATAATATTAGGCTTGGAAACCAGACACATTACTTTATCAATATTTGTGGCTTTTCAATACACCTTTACTTGACAGAGTGAATAGAAAACCATGCACACAGCATAGAAAATGTATTTTTTTATTTATCTGTGTCATAATTGCTCATAATTAATTTTCTAAACGCTTCATCTCAATTTTGAGATTGTGTTCTTCTTGGCTCATTGGTGATCATGTACAAAGCTTAGAGCTCACAAAACAATTCTGTCTCTGTTGGATAACACCGTAATATATGATTGCCCAAATGTATTAAGACACATAAAAACTAGGAAAAGGCGGGAAAACAGTTTCCTTTTCTTATCAATAACAACTCTTATTCCCTCTCATTCGCTCAACTTTACACAAAAAAAAATAAACACAGGATTTCATCTGTGGAATTTTCTACATCCATTATTTGTAAGATTTACTTGCGTTATATTTAATTTTGATAAAATGTATTAAAAACATCCAGGTTCGGAGAAGTCTACAAAGGCTCAGTAACACGATCAGTTGCAGAGGATGAGGTAATGTTTTCAGCAGGAAAATTGTTGATGGATATCACAGGTGAGCTGCCTCATATCACAACATTTCAACATAGTGGTATTACTGTATGACAATGGCTGTTGTGCTATCATAAAGGTAACTGTTATTATGTGTTCGTTGTTGTATTGTTGACATGCTTTATACCAAGGATTCTTAGACAGACTAAACACGGAGATAAAATATGTATTGTGTATTAACAATGTTCATGCTAAACAGCAAAACAGAAACCTTAACCAACATTAAAAGCTCTGAACTCTGTTACATCTTACTCAAGTAAAAAGGCTTTTCAAGTGCCTTTCTCCCTCAATGCAGTTCATGTCATTTAAAAGCTCATTGATGACCTGTCAAACCTGTCCCCATCAACTTAGGCTGAATAATTGTTCTTTTTGAAACATCCATCGTGCTCACTGTTCCTCTTTGCTTTTCTCGTACCCCTTCTCCAGCCCTGTTGCCATGGGGACAGCCTCGTAGCAGTGTTCCGTCCCGGGCTCCGGTGAGTGTCCCACAGCGATGCAGTCGTAGCCTTTTCCAGCCGAGCTCATGCGCTTCCTGTTGCGTGCGCCCGGCTGATAGAGCTGCATGGCGGGACGGTCCTGCAGGGAGACAAGAGAGCAGAGACATGGGAGAGACTAGCAGCACACATTTGGAATATATAAATCAACATGTATATATGTATTTAATCATGTATCTCTCTTGTCTCCCTGCTTATTCTTTTAACGTGTATCACAATCGGTCACAATCGCAGTTTTAGGCTTATCTGTTTCTGGTTTTATTTAGAAATGATTCCCACCTTTTAATGTAGGATTTTATTTGTACCTGTGTGTGTGTGTGTGTGTGTGTGTGTGTGTGTGTGTGTGTGTGTGTGCGTGCGTGCGTGCGTGCGTGCGTGCGTGCGTGTGTGCGTGTGTGTGTGTGTGTCGTATCAAAAGGTTCTTTTTTGCCTAGCCGATTCTGGATATTAAGTTGTTTCAGATAAAGTTCCTTTTGCCTGAAGTCTCCTGCATTATGTTCCACCTACTCCACTCTGCGTAATATCCCAGCATGCACTGGGCTAGCAGCAGGGACAGACAATACCCTTTTCACGGTTCAAATGCACTTCTGTATGTATATCAGTCAGTGAACAAAGAGGTAGAATAATGATGAACTGATTAATACATTCTTAACTAAGCCTTTGTTTAATTATAATGGTCTGATCTGTATGATGTATTGTTCATGTATATCAGTCACGCCACACTGAAAGATTAACACTAATACATCTTATACAGCCAAAACACAGATATACACACAAACATGCCATTATCCTTACTAGCAATTTTGTGTTTCACTATTTACCTTATTTGCATGTTTTTGTTCTGTGGTGGGAGTCTGCAGCACCTGGAGGAAACTTTTATAAACACAGGAAGAACTCCACACAGAAACACTGACGGCACGAATCAGACCCTGCATCTCACGGCTTTCAAACCTAATGTCATTGTAACTGGAAAACTCTTTCCTGTTCACATGACATTAAAGAAATACGGTTACTAGAAAGCTGTTTGTAATGTGGTTTGGTTATTACAAGTGCTCTATCTGGGTCATCTATTTGTCAGGCCTGAACAACATCTTTATATGACACAAATGCACTGAAAGTATTGAAACATGATTTTTCTGAGCTGACGATTATTATCTGTAAGTAAACAAAATACACATTTCAACAAACATCTGAAACACAGTTGAATGTTAACATCATGAATGAAAAAAAAGTAGGGTTCTCATGCTCACCTTCTCGCTCACCTTGTTTCGGAGGCGTTCCTTCCTGTTACCCACGTCCTCCCTGTCCTCCTTCCCCAGTTTGTCTCCACCATCAGGGCAGTAAGAATAGCCATGATGGTGCCCCTCTTTCTTGGCTCTGTCTTGGCAGTAGCCCTTCCCCCATTTTGTCTCATCTTTGCGGCGCATAAACTTGTCAAACTCATAGTGGTGCCTCTGTCGTTTCCTCTCTTCATCTTTCCCCCGATGGTCCTTTTCTCTCTGCCTGCGGCCGTGCTGCTCTCTCTGCTCCTTGTCGCTCTCAGGTTGACCTCTAGTGTTCAGAGGGGGCATTACACACACACACACACACCCCTTTATATAATTGTTACACAAACACAGCTGTTATCGGAATTCTTGGTTACACTTTACGCTAATGTGTATGATGATTTTTTCTACCTTAAAATAAAGATACAATTATGTGTTTGCACTCTTTGTACCTATACAAGAGAGGTTGTATTCAGGGGTTTAACAACACAAATATTAAGTGGTAACACATTTTGAAATAGGGGGAATCTCAGACTGTGCCCAAACAATCCTTACTTTTCTTTGGGGTCCTTTGACTTCATTTGTCCTCCGGCTTTCTCCCATTTGCATCTGTCTGTCTCCCCAATGTCACTTTTGTCCTTCATCCGGTCTGAATCCACGTCATCGTCCCTGTCACTCTTCTTAAGGAGCTACATATGGAGATAATACAGGAAAACTTTCATAAATACACCAATAACTTTGCAAATATACTCCAAACAACAAGGAAAAACAGGTATCAAAACCATTGATTTTCATGATGAAGCATTACCTTGATTTTAATGTCTTTATCAGACAGTTTCCTCTGCTTCTCTGCCTCTTTCCGTTTGCGTCTCTCCTCCTCTCTTCGCTTTCTCTTTTCCTCCTCTCTTTGCCGTTTCTTTTCGAGCTCTCTTCTCCTCCGCTCCTCTCTCTTCTCCTCTCTTATTCTCTGTTGGGACACATTTGGCACATTAGAGAAGAACAAAGCAATTTGTAGGTCATCAGTTTCAATATAAGCATTTTTCATTTCTTACCTGTTTCTCAATTTTCTTATTTTTGATGTATTCCAACAGCGGTGTTGTCCGTTTGGCTGAAGTCAATACAAGGGGTAATAATGAAGATTAGTTAACTGAGGTCCAGTATCTTTCTGACTTCAAATCAAATCAAATCAAATCAACTTTTATTTATATAGCACATTTTTAAAACGATTTTTGGTCGAGCCAAAGTGCTGTACATATAATAATGACCTTACAGTAAGGACACTTTACAGCAAATACAACAGCACAGTTTGTGCAGAATATCAGTATGAGAAAACGACACCCTCTGTCCTTAGACCCTTACATCGTACAAGGAAAAACTTCCGGAGAAAAAACCCACAGTTTAAAGGGGAAAAATGGGAGAAACCTCAGGGAGAGCAACAGAGGAGGGATCCCTCTCCCAGGACGGACAGACGTGCAATAGATGCCGTGTGTAAGAGATAATACATTTTTACAGCGTAGGTAAACCAACGCTGTAAAATGTATATACCTGAATCTTAGTAAATGTGGTACTGTACCTATGAGCTCTCTGGTCTTGGCCTCTATCTCTCCCAGCAGAGTCTCAGGGTTGGCCATAGACTTCTCCTCATCACAGGAGTAATTCTCCAAGAACCGCCTATATTCTGGGTCTGAGAATGTGATATTCAAAGATTCAAGAATTGATTTTCACTATGTCATAAATCCATGCATTAATATTATAATAAAACACTGAATATAATGTCTACTGCACTGTATATCAGGGCATGTTTTAATGACGGATCAAGCTTTGTATTTCTCTACCTTCTTCAATGCTTCCGGTTTTGGCATCTTTCTTTTTTAGCTTCTTCTTTGAGATTTTCTGAAAGGGGGCAAACTCCACCACTGCAGGGTACTCTTGTCCTGGGTAAATATTGAAATAAAAAGGCAGCTCGTCATTTAACAGACCAGCAATCAAATGGTAACAATGGCAACAAAAGCTCTTACGCCATCTCACGGCCCGTAACATTTAGCCTGTAGCTGTAAAACAAACACATCTTTGTTTTGATTTCATTTAGCAGAATATCTCGCCCTATGTGCTGCCCTTAATGGCCACCAAAGTGTTACTGAGTTCAAACAAAGCTAAATACCCTTGTTGTCAATGAAGACGTAGCCATCAAATCGGTCCCTGAACAGAAGGATATCTTCCGGGATTTTAAAATTAATATATGCTCTGGAGAACAAGTGGGGATAGAGACTGTTGAAAAAGAGAAAGACAAAGAAGGTGAAGTCATATATTATCATGTAAAGGGCAAAGGCAACACGTTTGGTTATCCTAGGCACAAGTTTGGTCTAAGGTATTTGTTGCTAGGAAAAAATCATGATTACCTTTGGTCAGCTGGAAAGAACTCAAAATAGTCGTAGGACGGAAGGGGACTGAGCTGTTCCTCTAGCTGGTCCTTTGACAGGTTTGGTGGAAGCCTTCGAATCACGACCTGTAATCAAGTGTAGGTTGCAGCATTTTAAAAACTGGACTCAGACATACTGCTGCTTTATTATTCACCATTATTTTTAAACAGTGTGTTTTGGAAGTGCAATACTGAACTTCATGAGTACCCTTACCGCTCTGACCTATTGATGTGCCAGCAATAACAAACTCATGCTTGTATGTATGTAGACATGTATTATTCTAACCACCTGAAGTTTATTTTGAATTCTAATGGTGATACCAAAATTCAAGAGATACTAAGTGTCCTGAAACAGAATAACATGTAACACTCAAATGCACACAGAAAAAATATGCACAGACAATAGTAGGCCAATTTACAGCATAGCCTAATACATGCTAAAGATATGATTGTTATTTTCAGCATTATGAGATTTACACTGCAGCTTGGCAACTCTAAACTAAGCAGAAAATATGGATTTGAGTCAATAACAGCGATAACAAGACGTACAATGTTGTGTTATAGACCATAGCTTATCTAGCCAGTGTTTACATTATATAAAGTCTGAGAGGATTGTGAAATGTACTATGATATTATAGGTCTAGCTGACAGGTTGGGAGTGTAGTCCTTCCTCCTCCTGTCGCTGTCCGCGGTGCTGAAAGGATCCCACCTCCCTCCATTTCTGTTTTCCACACAGCGTAAACAATGCGACACATCGTAAACGCTCGGCTACCCACCTTGGTAAAAACCTCTTTCTTCTCTTCTTTCTGCTTCAGGTTTCCAGGAATGTTTTCCTGCTCTCTTGGGATGTCTCTAAACTGTATCTCCACGACGCTTTTCTCCTTGCCCACGGTCATTTGGTCCTTTTCAGACCTCATTTCTCTCCATCTCCCTCTCGCCCGTGTAAAGCCGCTGTGTTCTCGCGAGAGTGTAGAAATATCGCGAGTGCGGCGAGTCAGACAGCTTTTATATTATGTTCTGTGGCCATATAGCTTCTAGGATAACCACACATACATGCAACACAGCACAAGTTGCGTTTAGGGACAAGACTAATATTTGTGTCAATGTATAGGTCTCAAAGAAAACCGTCTATTTATGAATAATGTTTATCATATTGATGGATAATAACCTCAAGTTATTGCAAGTAGGCCTATCACTTCTTTAAAGCTGGTTGGTGGGGATGGTTTTATCACTTTACATGCTAGCTTTAAAGTCTTATCTTTACGTGTGATAATAGTCTACATATTGTCTTCATGTAATCTTAAATTTCAATCTAAATGAAATAAATAAAAACTAAAACAGTAAAATACATGTAAAGGAGTTCAGTACATTGTTTCATTTAGAATCTAAGTAAAGTCAATGTAGAGTTGGCGGAATATTAATGTAAAGTAAGCCTGGAAGTATAAGCATATCATAATTATGTTACTTTCCACCACTATCTACAAAGTTCATAACCTATGGAAATATTAGCATTGTAAAAAGCTACATGTTAATTTCAACCAAATCAAGCACCAAGGACACCACGTTTTGCTCATACATTTTTTTTTAAATACAAAAATCTCTTACTTTAGAACAGCTTAAATGTAAAAACATGTATCAGCTATCAGAATATTTTTACGTTACCTCCGCTGCATATCTGAATAAAAGCTGATAGGTTTATAATACACCACACAAGTAGAACTACACTGTGGTTTCATCTTAATGTAATGTCCAAGAGTCACTGTAGGTCGGAGCAGGCACCGTGCGGCTCCGGGGTCTGGCAGCGGGGCTTCACGCTGATCGGACCCGCAGAGAGCGAGCTGCCCGGGGGGGAAGAGCCCCAGCACTCAGGGGTGGAGGAAAGGCTGACGGACCGCGTGTGGACACTTCGACAGGGAACTGAGGGACACCAAAAAAGTTTAACAAAATATCTTTACAAATGGAAAAATGGGACGTTAATTTGTCAAAGTACATTTGGAGCGAATAGTCCCCCCCCCCCCCCCCCCCCCCTTGAGCCCACAGAAGACAACATCTGGACCACCAACCATGCTCGGAGTTAGCTGCCTAACTCCGAGCATGGTGCACATCTTTGTCACCTGTTCAAGGGAATTGGTTTTATAAACTCACCACTGAGGTAAGTTTGCCTGCCATTGCTGGTTTCCAAACCCAGCCGAGGTCTCTCTGGTGTGGACACGGAGCTCTTCAGGCTGGGGACGAAGGTGGAGCAGGTGTCCAGGTCCCGGCACACCTTGTCTTGGCTGTAAATGACGGCCGATTTAGAGGGAGTACAGCCCATCTCTCCTGAAGTTACTACAGAAGCTCTCCATTGGGATAATGTCCGGGAGGCAAACAGAATAGCATTGTATCTAACCTGTTAATGTCAAGGGAGGGATGTAGGGGAGTTGTGAGGGACCCTAACCCCTCCTCTAAACCGGTGCATTACATTAGGGAGGATGGGTCTGTCTACACGTTTCTCTGCAGTGCTAGGCAGTAAAGGGGACATTCTGTTTCACATTTTATAACTTTTCTTTCAGCAAAGAAGTCGTATCAGAAATGTATTCAATGCCTAACAACTGTCAATTATACTCTGCAATTCTTTAACTCTATAACTAATAACTATGTTTTATGCAGGCAAATATCATGAAAAAGGAACTCAGCATCTACATCATGACATTTACACAAGTAGGGGAGACCAGGTAGTTGCAACACGGGTTGGTTGTAACACCTTCAATATCTCCAATCACAAACAAGCTAGAGTGATGAAACTCACTCTGCACATGCACAGATAGATGGTCAGATCGCTGAGAAAAAAAGGAGCCACGTTTGAATTTCTCGCGTAAGATATCAGCAGAAGTGTGTTTCTGAGGTAAAATATTAACTAAAATGATACGATGTATTTTTTGGACACTGTCTTGAGTTCAAATGTCTAGGAATCCAAACTAGTATTATTAGAATCACTGCTTTGTAAGCTACAAATATAACTAGCTAAATATGGGTCAAGCTAGCAATCAGGCAGTTTCACAGGGGGTGAAAGCAAGACTGGTGGTCCTGGGACGGTTGTAACGGGACGGTTGTAACATGGCACATTTACAATGATGGCACATTTGCTTGAATGATCAATTGTTCATTCAAGCATACAGTTGTATTGTTGATTGGTGTGCATTGTCCCTGTAAAAATAAACAATAAAATACTGTACAGTAGGCCTAAAGTGTGTGTGTGTGTTTACAGTATGCCAAATGTCAGAAAGAGGAAGACAGACAGGGGAGTGCCACTTGCTCTGCTGCAAAGGGCCTCAAATGAAGTTGAGAAGGGCAAATCATTCAGGGAAGTGGCAAAGTCCCTGGATATATGCCATGTCACCCTGTACCGGTTCCATACAAAGAGGCTGAGGTTGGAGAGTCAGGGATCACAAACACCCCCAAGAGTAGGCTACTGGACACCAAAGAAGGTGTTCTCAACAGAGCAGGAGATGCTTTTGAGAGACTATCTGATGGAGGCAGCTGATTTATACTATGGTCTCAGCTCAAAGGAGGTAGGTCTACATAATTAAGGTAGAAGCACCTCTCAGAGAACAGTTTAATCCTTCACAGAGGATGATGCTGTGTGTGTTATGTTATCCTGTTCATTGTTTGTTGGAGGATGTGTGAAACCCCATTCAAATCTTGTTGCCTTAGAATTTGACAGCTTTCCCTATTTGTTGTCATGTAGTGTGAAAAAAGGTAACCGTTATTAACATGTTACAACCGTGCCTGGCATGTGCTACAACTGTCCCTGTACACAAGGACAGTTGTAACAGTTGAGTTTAAAAAAAAAAAATAATACATTTTCCAACCTGTACTTATTTCATAAAAACATCTTAAATACATTGTTTCAGTAGCTGACATATTGATAATGTATAATATAGCAAAATGGCTATCCTATTGTAAATGGTTTTTTACTTATTGGGGAAAAGCCCAAAAAGTGTTGCAACTGTCCCTGGTCTCCCCTACTAGAAATCAAACTAGAAAAATCATAATCTTGTTTCTTAATATCAACAATTGAAACATTTAGTGGCAACTCATTCAATCAGACACTAAAGATGTAACCCACGGTATCATAATGAAATGTTATCATTATGACGGTAGGAAGACAATTATTAATTTCCCAACATTATTGGTATAACATGCTTTCTGTAAGTTTGACAAATCACCCACTTTTTCTGTTCAACACAAAACACAGATACACTTAAATCTATTAAGATAAATGCATGGTTTATTTTAAGAATGACCAATAATCGTTTTCACCAAAAACTACTTGTTTTCAGCTGGCTCTTTATTCAACTTGGAAATCCACAGGTTAAGCAACATGGAGGGTCCTGCCATAGGCAGTAATAAGTGACTTTTAGTCTTTTAGATTCGATGTGAGGAGTTTGGCTGTGTTTGCTTTTTTCAATCAAGTGTCAGAGGGCCACATGTTCCCAGTGTCTTCAGTCTTCACTCAACCCCGTAACCAAGGCACATGTTAATCCCCCTTTAAAGTGCATTCTAGCAAATGTATTATGATCTACAGCAGGTGCTGTATAACAATTCAGCTACTTTTACTCATTCCCATTATGTTCACATAGGGATGTTCTATCTGTTTTTATCACCATATTTAATGCACAAGAGGGGGAATCCACAGGAAACCTTTGGTGGAGGACAGGCGCCAAAGTTTACATTTGATAGTTGTCCTTGGGTTTGAATGTGTACCTATAACAACCTGTTGCTAAAACAGCTCCTCCTGGCAGGATGAGATCACGTGCTGGTGTCTGACAATGTTTCTAACATCACGTCGCTCTCGTACATGTCGCACTCGAGGGTTAAAGAGAGTCGCAGCGGTGTCTCCAGCATCATCTTGTCCTGATTTGACAGTGGCGTTTCCAAGGACATGATGCTGGGTCCTTCTGATCTCGGAGTAGCGAGGTTATCACCGGACTCCGACGTGTTCAGCATCAGCGCTGTAAAGTTCAAGTTGCATCGCACCTTGTCATTGATGTCTGTGCCTTCGTGGAAACAAATAACAACACATTGTTTTACAGACCTAACCTTTCTGCAGGTGTTTCAGAACAGATATTTGAATATTTTCAATGAACGAAGAATGTTGCCTTAAAAACCCATGGGATAAGATAATGAAAAATGTAACTTAGACTTAAATAAAAAATGTTCAAAGATTAAAAAAACAACTTCACTGTAAGGCAGTGTAGCTGTATCCTACCTAAATAGGCATCTGTGTCACCAATGTACATCTCAATACAGTGGCCGAGCATCGTCACAGAGAAAGTGTCGTCCCTTTTCAGTCCAAGTGCCTGCACAGAAAGAAACCAAAACACTTTAAGCATTTGGTACATAAATAGTTACATTACTGACAGAGATATTCGCCCACCAACCAGTCATGTTGCAGTTTGGATGTCATGTCTTTCCAAAATGCCATCCCATTTTATTCCATCAGACATTTGTGTGCATTGTTAAAATGAAGACTTGCATTTTTCAGTTATGGCCACACACTTCTTTTATGAGGTCACGGTAGCCTTGACCTTTGACCACCATATCTAAATTAGTCATTTATTTGACAATTATTCCAAATTGAAACAATTCCTTCCAGATGTTCATTAGATATGGAGTTTATGAGAATGGGATGGATGGACAACCCAAAAACATTATAAAAAACTAAAAATACTAAACAAAATATGTCTCTATTCTGGCTTTATATTCATTTAAACTTTGTAAAGTTGGAGTTTATTTAATCTGCACTTGCAATGTTTATTTCATTGATATTAAAGCTGATCTTGTGTTTGTTTGTGTTTACAAAAGAAAGCTCGCTATTCAACACATTGACCTTTAACGACACTCCACTATGCCTCCTTCATAAATTCTGTTTCTATGGCAACTCCTTCTTGCCTTCTTATAGAGAGTCAATGGAGAGAGAAAGATTATCTTTCGATCCCGTATGAATTGTGCCATGAATTACACATATGATGTTTGTCAATCTTAAAATATAATTTCCATGTCAAAAAAGTCAGTTTGTCATAAGACTATGAAAAATACGCAACTAGAAAGGGAACCGACTAACTCTCCTTGTGTGTATGTACAGCTCTCAACATGCCCAGACTTGTAGTGATTTTCACCTCGTTTAATACTTTTCGCCTCATTCTGAAAGAAAGAAGTGAAATGTGCCAACGTGATGGCCGTCTTGGTGTGTGGTGCGAGACGGGAGATGTAGTTCATTGAGCGGTTTCACACTCAAAAAAGTGTTACTTCACAGTTTTACGACACATTTTTATTTTTTTGACTTGCAAAATTATCTTTTAAAATTGACAAACATCATATGTGTAATTCGTGGCACAATTCAAACGGGATCGAAAGATAATCTTTCTCTCCCCATTGACTTCAATACATAATTTTTCCGAAATAAGGTCCCATGGAGCTCCCCCGGAAAGGGAGGGACTTCGCCTCTCTATATCAAACCTCAACTGACAACCATCCTCTATTTAGGCAGTGGTTTAAATACACATTGCTGAAGGTTTTAAGTGGGAAACAAACCCCTTAAAGACTGGAGAAAAAGGCACTTTACCGTATGAAAGTAGTCGATAGCGCTCTCGAAGTCTCCCATAAGGCTGTGCACGTATCCTATGGCAGAGTAGGTGGAGGCGTGCTGAGGGATTAACACCAGCGCCTGGCGGTGGTACTCCAGCGCCCGCTCGTACTTTCTACACAAACCGCACAATATACAGAGTCCACATCAACAGATTCAACAGAAAATCATGTTTGCGTACATATCACAAAATACATTTAACCAAATATTATATTTAAACTCCATCATTACGTTTTCCAGGAGAACATATAGTGAGGAAATGTCAACAGATACAGCTTGATGATAAACAGGTTCTGTATGCCATCTAGAGACAAGAAATGTAATAGCATCAGCTATAAAAAAAACATACATTTGTACATTTCAAACTACTGTAGTTATTATCATTTTGAAAAACATAGTGAGAACTCTTCATCTGCTAAATCTAATTAAAAAAATGGTTTCTAAACATCTAGATTCTTTGAGTTGATATTTATCTTCAGTAATAACTGCAACACAACGTTTTCACACAGCACATGTGCAGCTGTGGTTAGCATAATGACGAATGGAAATTGAATAACAACATGGATGTTTGAAAGGCGCACCAACAACCTATATAAGGCATTCTCTTTGTGAGGATGAAAGCCTCCTTATAAAACCTATCCCAACCTTTCAAAACAACCACTTGTGTGGCCCACATTCTGCAAGCCTCTTATATCTATTGAGTGGTGCCTATGCATAATTTATTAAAGGGTCTTTTCATGAATTTTAAATGAGGGTCCTACCTACGCTGAATGATTGCGATAGAACATATCTGAAAATAGTTTGTAGGAAGAAGGTAAAGGAGAATGAGATAAGCAGGGGAATGAATTTTTTTTAGAGAAAAGCGCACTCTGCAATCTTCTTTGACAATCCACTCGAGATAAAATTATCCTCCATACTAGTAGGGCTGCTCGATTATGGCAAAAATCATAATCTCTTTTATTTGGGTCAATAATTGATATCACGATTTTAAAAACGATTATCCATTTACTTTTAAAACATCCATTTATTGAAAAATAAAATGTGAACAGTATGTTTTTAACAGTTGATTACCCTGAACTTTAAGTATAATTCAACTGAAAAACCAATACAAAATAAATACAAATAAATTAAACGTTTTATTTCGATTATGTAGTTTTCATAATCGTTGCAAGCCAAAATCGTAATTGCGATTAAAATACGATTAATTGAGCAGCCCTACATACTAGTGCTATAGCGAATGTGCACACTCAAAGAACTTGAAATCCATAATTCCATTTAGAAAAATTCAAACCTAAAAGTGTAAACAACCCAGCATTTTGTCAAAAAAAAAAAAAAAGGGCTCCATACTTACTTCAATTTCCGACACACATGACCCAAGTTGTTTAACAGAGGCTCCCATTTGTCCACAGTGACCTTAGATTTAAAAGACAAATAGTAAAAGAGGCAAACATTATTTTCTAACGTAGAACTGCTATGTTTTCAAGCCGTTGTAATTTATATTTTTCTAATTTTAATAAATGAGCAGTTACCTCATTCCCTATGGCCTTGATCTTCTCCATCGCATCAAGAAACAACCTCTCTGCTGTCTTCCAGCTAAAACAGATGTAAAAAACAGTCTTACAGCAGATCCGATCTTTTAAATAAATAAAAACAATCAATGTGTGTATAAATAATATCAGGTGCATTATGAGTTATTTAAATGTGTGTATATCCTAGATACAAGGTGTCAGTACCTTAGAAGCAAAAACAATTACAGAATTCTTTTTATCTGATTCTGAAAAAAATATGCGTCTTGGACATTTTTGCTGCCACCACAATTTAATATAGGTGAATGGCATTTAGTTTGCGAACCCAGACAAATCAAGCTAAGATGATATGCAAGTTTAGATACGATTGAGGTTATATGAAAAAAGTTATACAAGTCCTTTGTGATCTGACCCTATAAGGCTCTGTCATTGCTACCAATAATGCTACCTTTGTCAAACTGAAGGCCTACGTGTTATTGTTTGTTTGTGGCTGCATGACTCACTCTCCATTCTGAAAGGCAACCACTGCCACCTCGTGTATGACGAACGGGTCCTCAGGAGCGATACTGAGAGCCTGGCTGAAGAAACGCTCCGCCAGCTTGGAGTTGTTGGTCAGACCGTACTCCAGGCCAATGTAAAGCATGGGTAGGTGACACCTGCATGAGAGAGAGCCGGACACATTAAACAAGACCAGATGCATTCCTATTTTATTGTTTAGTGAAAGTAAATTGAGAAGTAGCAACAATTACTTAAAGCTATATATTTCTAACGGCACATTTAGAACAGATGAGCTGTTGCTGAGCGATGGGCTGCATCTAACACTGTTGGATGTTTTTAGTTTAAAAAAAAAAAAAAAAATCAGAATATCAGTTGTGGCAAGGTGCACTTTTTGATGTCTTTTATACATAAATATGTGTCCCCGGTGTGTCGGGGAACTCACGCAGCGTCAGAAAATAAAACCCTCTCTCTTTTCCTCCGTACCCAAATCTCTAAAAACGGGGTTACAACGGAGCTGATCCAGATTTGCATCCGATATGACGTAATATCGGAAATGTGGACCCACGGCACTATCAGAAAGTTGCTATCAGAAACAATGCCAGACTGTTTTGGACGTAATATGGTCGGTGTTTACATTAGCATCGCTAACACTCAGAGCTAACCTGTACTGAGCATGTGTGTGAAGAAGCAGGAAATAAAAAAGGAACTCACCTTGTGGTATAACCGGCAAGAGAGAAAGCCTTTGAGCTCCATACTGTTTCAGAAATAATCCATGATATGTCGTTTCATCACGGCAGTATTTAGTTTAGACAGTAGCTGCCGGGTTCCGCATGAGCTCAGCCCCCTCCTTTTTTATTTTTTTAAAGCTTTATACCCAAAATCAGCACTTTTGAAACAGGAAGTGAAATAGAGGGATATGAGGCATGGCTAGAATGGGTGGTCTGTTTGGTATTTTGAGCAAAACACTTCATAGACATGTTTTTTATATATTTTTATATCTGAGACCTATGCTATTGCCTAAAAATAGCATGATAGGTGCACTTTAATTGTCTTAATAGTCTGTGCCTGCTCTTCAACACAGACAAAAATAACTCCGCTTCTCATAACTTTTCAAATGACATCATATGCTTGACTCCATTGACGTTCATTTATGTGATATGGGCTTTCCTAGTATAACAAAAAAAAGAAATGTATTTATAAAGCCTAATGTGCTTACCCTTTCATCAGCTGTGCAGCAGTGAAGTAGGCGGCCATGGCTTGGTCATGCTCACTCTCTACTGCAAATGAATGGCCATAGGCGATCCAAGCAGGACCATACGTCCTCTCCAGCGTGGTGGCTTTACTATAGGAGACATACCATACCCAATATATATATATATATATATATATAACTGCACTTCAACATAAAGAGCCTGCAATGCTGTCTCAAACAGGAATTACTTCCTTTTCAGTGTTTTAATGCATACCTGAGGTACCGGCGAGCATGTTCGTTTTTATGGCCGACCATGAGATAGTAGCACCCGACAGCAAACCAGGATACCTAATGAGGATTTGGTTATTAAACACTGGAAATGATATCAAAAGGAAAATAGATGTGTGGTGATGTGGCTGCAACACTTACTGGGTTGTTGGGATACAAGTCTACAAGTTTGTGTGAGAGGTAAAACAACTCTGCGGGAAAAAAAACGCAAAAAAGCTTGAAACTGATCAATTAACTATTATACTGCCAGATGGTGCAATAACTAAACTAAACATTCTTTATGCAAGAAGCAAGGAGAGATATATGTTTACCATTTGATTTTCCAAGCTCCACAAGTGTTCCTATGTGGACTGGTAAACAGTTGGCATGGAACGGGTCTTTAACCATCACCCTGAAATACAAAAAGAGAGCTGCATGATGGGATTGTTAACCTTATTGTATTTCACAATGTTGTACTGCACACAAAGGGCATCATTTATAACCCATTTTGGTTTGACTGTTAAAATACAACTCTTTACAAAGATGCTCATTAAATTAGGCTGCACACTGTGTAGAGCTGTGAATTATTCCCATTGTGTGATGTTACAATATTTGATGTTATATTGAATGGGTAGGCCCCACATTTTCGCAGGAACTTACTATGGATCGCTACATTACATTACATTACATTGCATTACATTGCATTTAGCTAATGTTTTATCCAAAGCGATGTATAACAAGTGAAAGGGGAGACAGAGTAAATGGCCTGATGCGAACCTGGGTCTTGGAACTAAGTCCCTATACATGGGCCGCCGCACTACTAGGTGAGCTATGCGTCGGCTACATTATTTTCAGTCAACATGCAAAGATCAGCAACAAACAGAGTAAATCTGAAGACACTTACGTTGATGTGAGTTTGTAGCACATCTTGAAATCACAGTTATAATAATGCCTCTCAGCAAGAGACACCACTACATCCAAGTTGTCCTGAAGACCATTGACCATCTCTGGCACCACCAGATCACTGGGCTTGTTATACTGCAATGGGAAGGAGAGCACGTGTGTTTAATTATGCATGTGTGTGTGCTAGGTGGGGGCAGGGTCTAGATGGGAGGACGTGGAAAAGGAAATAAAGCAAGGTCAAGAAAAAGGCAGATATATGAGATGAATGAAAGGGGGTAGGTCTAGATCTGAGGACGTGGAAAAGGAAATAAAGCAAGGTCAAGAATGAGATGAATGGAAGGGGGTAGGACGAATGCATTGCAATGAATGTGTTTTTGTCTTTTCTTAAGATGAATTGAAAAGAAAAATATATATCTGCCTTTTGCTATAATTAATTAATCATCACAGGTGATATAAAATAATATACAAAAAACTGAATGCAGAGCCCCCTACCTTCTTTAACTTATTCTCAAATAGGAAGTGTAACAGCTCCTCCTCTTCCTCAGTGCATTGTTGACTCAGAGGAAGTGAGTCAAGGAAGTCTTTCTCTATTGAAAAAATAACAACACATTTCTCATATACCGTCATTTTACAAGTTCTTGCAATGATAACAAAGGGCACATATTGGTAGAACTTGAATATGTCTGTGCACATGCTGGCCACAGATCTGCCTCACCTTCCTGAGCGGTCAACATGTGGTGGGACGTTAAAAGGTCAAAGGCTTCAAAGCAGTACACATCCAGTTTCAAGGCCTCTTTGTAGCTGGAGGTGGCCAGTGGTCTGTTGTCCATGGCATCATAGATTTTACCCCGCAGGAGGCTGATGGAGCTGCTGATCTGAAATATTACAGAGGAAAAACATGGATAACAGAAAGAGTCTTTTGTAAATGTATATAAAATAACTCATAGCTGTATATAGTTTCAAAGCTCCAACAACTCCATAGCATTACCAAGGCTGGGATGAGGCAGTGATTCTCATTTAATGACATGGAGGGTATTTTTTGCCAACATTATGTCACATAACTTGCCTGCTAAAAATTACATGTGCTGCACTTCAGTGTAGTTATAATGATTGCACATGCCCTCATCTAGAGCAAGACCTCGTAAAAAAATCTGATGTTGAACTAAAAAAGCAATTATGTCACAAGTGGCTATTACATCACCAGCTGTGGTTGGAGTGTTTGTGGAATAAATATGGCTATAGTGTCAACCCAGTCAAAGAAATGAACTGACAGAGTATAGCTACATAAATGCACTAACAGATTTAAACAGTATTAGAAAAAGACGAGAGGTGATGAAAAGAACAATTCTGAGGATTATGATTCGATCCTGCAACACTGACAAACAAAACCCAAGTCCAAAATGTATAATCTAATTGGACTGCACACATCCAGACTGCACTCAATACATGTTTCGTTCAGTGGCAGATGAGACTTACAGAGGCAGGGGACATGTCCCAGTCCTTGGCTGACTCTGGTGTCCCGCTGCCCTCTTTCACGCTCCTGTCCAGCAGCCTCTTACTAGCCAGCTCCTCTGCGTCCAGGATATCCAAGGCCTGCTGGAACTCTTTGGCAGCATACTAGACAAAAGAGTAAGATACTTTTAAGCATGGAAAATAACTAGGTTTCTTTGAGTTATATAATGCAATGTAGAAGAAGGCTGAGAACTTAAACATCTACTTTTGAGGTACTTACATGGCATCTAGCGGCAAGATACTGACAAGCTCCGTACAACTGTGTAAGAGAAGACAAATGTTATTTTAGACATGGGACTGAACTGGGTACAATCCTCCATATGTTGATTTGTGTCATTAATATTAAACGTATCACTCACTCATTGAGAAAGAACACACACATAACCCACATTACCTTGTCAAGTTTTCGAGATCGGAGGGCATGGGAGGCTCTGTGGTACTGTGAGGTCAAGTAAAGGCACTGAGCTAGCCAGTAGATATCCTGGGGATCCTCTGGAGGAGGTACAAAGAGGCAGGGTATTACATTTCTGATAGTATAGTCATCCCTGACACCAAAACATCACAGACATTGTCAAACTAGCTTGTGACAATGAAAGCAAAACAGTAATGATGTCTCTATAAACCGCTAGTCTTATTAACAGTGGTGTAAAGTAACTAAGTACATTTACTCAAGTACACTACTTAAGTACAATTTTGAGATACTTGTTCTTTACTTGAGGATTTAAATGTTTTGCTACTTCGTATTTCTGCCCCATTATAATCAAGAGGTAAATCGTGTACTTTTAAACCCACTACATTTTTTGTATAACTTTAGTTACTTTGCAGATTGGGATTAATTATGTTTATATATTCAACACTTAAATAAGACTTTAAACACACCTAGGAGTAAATCCACAAGCTACCCTGCAAAGTAATTAAAACTAGCTTTAATAAACACATTAATGCATGAATAAATATAATTAAAACAGAATGGATATTATTAGAAAATGGGTCAATCTGCATAATGTTCGCTATTACTTTCGGAATTTAAGTATATGTTGATGCTAATACTTTTGTACATGAGTAACATTTGCAATAAGACTTTTACTTTTAACATAGTACTACTACACTCTGCTACTTCTACTCAAGTACTTCTTCCACCTCTGCTTCATCACTGACAGGCTACACCAAAATCATCACAGCCGTTGACAAGCTACTGTATTATCTGCCATTAATATACAGTCTATTTACCGCTCGTTACAATTACAGGAAAACAGGAATAATGTCTTTATAAACCGCTAGTCTCATTAGCATTGCAACTTTAGCTGACACATCGGTAGGTTAAGTCTGCTATGCTTGCTAGTCACACAGCAATAACTGCACTTACTTACCGTGAGACAGGGACGCTATCTTGTCGGCCCAAAACAGAGCACTTTGATACTGTTGCTGTAAACAAACACACAACAAAAAAGGCAAGAGTTACTCAAATATATGTTGTTGTGTTTAGCCGGGTGATAGCTAAAGTTAGCCAGGCAGTCCAGCTATGAATGTTCGTTACTATTGACGCCAGGTTTGCTCTCAAGCTAGCATTTAGCTAGCAACACAGAAAGTCAGAAATACATGATAATTCTTACCTGATCAATGTACGCCCGAACTCGCTTTCGGAGTCTGTCGAGATTCATTTTTGATTTTCCTTTTTATTGCTCTGACTTTTAAAAATGTGTCATTCTAAGAGAGAAGAACGCAGTGTACAAAACTATGAACAAAACAGTTCGTACTAGCTTGCTAGCTGCGTAAAATCAAATAATCAAATCCGCGGCTTCTTTCTGCAAAAAGTGTCCCGCAAAATGGTGCCGTGAGGAAACTCATACTGGATAGACAGTTCCACTCTTTCACACTTAAGACATACAGCTATGTTTAAGTGTAAAATAACTGTACGAATACAACAAATGTATATCATTTATCTATTACGTATTTTATTTGTTTTCATTAAAGAAACACATAACAAAGACATTATTTTTGTTAAAATTGCACTCAACACAGATGTTCATGAATGTATGTGGCATACAGCCTCTACCAAGTAGTGTTACTGATTGTTACGGCTGTTTGTATTGCCTGTTTCTTTTTCCCTTTGGTTCCTCTACCCAGGTGTGCTGCATTGCTGTAACGAGGTGCAGACGAGGTGCACCTGGAGAAGGAATGCTTAAAAGCTCCAGTGCAGAGAGGCCTTTGGTGGGGACTGCTGTGTTTCTGCTTCTCATCCTAGGATGGATAATTAAACCTTTGATGTGTTGTTATAATAAATCCTATGGATTTGATGATTTTAAAGGTGTCTTTCGTGTTCTATTTGGGTCAGTGGTGGAATTTTGTTAGCCCCATAGGGCCATTTTAAAGGTGGGGCGTAACACTGATCAATTTAAAGTGGACCTATCATGCTATATTTGAACAATATATTGTAGGGCCATACTATATAAAGTATATAAATATATATATTTTTTCAAAATACCAAACAGATCCTGCATTTTAGCCATGCCTCATTTCGCTCCATTTTGCTCTTTCCAGCCCTGTTTTTGCAGGGGGCTGATTCTGTGAGCTGCAGCTGACCACGCCCCCCTGCAGGAGAGGGGAGCGTGCTCTGATCAGCTGCTGGGCTGTCAGAAGAGGGGGGGGATCTCCATCCTCCGTGTTGTATTATATTATTATATAGAGTCGTTATTCATTTGTTTTAAAGCTCAATAAATAACATAGAAGACCTTTGACCGGCACTTTTCTAATTTTGTCCGGAAGATTTAAACTTTAACGGACATCTTGACCGGCGAAAAAAAACCTAACTGAAACTCTGCCGCACGGTCCCCTCGTTCCTTGGAAGAGGCGGAGAGGTGGGTGTTTGTCATCTGCTGGTGGACTAACCGGAGAGAATTACAGTGCTTGCCTCGACGGGGAGGGATTGCATTGAATTACAGCAGCAGGAGCAAACGCTTGCCTCGGGGAGGGAGAAAAAGAGTCACAGCGGAGAATAAACAGAAGGGCAACCATGGCAACCATGCGCGGGAAGTCTTCTTCGCTGCTTTTGTGGCAGACTACAGCGCCACTAATGGCGCGTTTCCACTACAGCGCGGAGCACGGTTTAAGAGGGCTGTGACGTCAGCGGCCCGTTTTTGGTTGCGTTTCCACTTGGCCTAGTACCGGCCGGCGGGTCCTAATTCACAGTTTTTCTGGCCTCATAAAATTGTGGGTCGAGGGCCAGAGACAACGAGGCTGAGTATGCTAAACTTGAGAGAGAATCGCTGGCAAGGGGGCTACAACTACAACAAGATGGACATATTTGACCGTGATTTAATTGTAATACACGTTTCAAAATGATGCCGAAGTAACAACATACTGATACCGGTTAGTAAAAACCATGAATTAATGCTTTGACAAGTCTGCAGACAGACGGCAGGCGAAAAACCTTTTAAAATGCGTGTTTTCTAAATGAAGATTGGCTAAGCTAACGCAGTATATGCTCCGACCGTCCACACTCAGAACAACGGCCTATACAGACATAAATAAAGCAGCGACTGTATTCGCCATGACACAGGCAGTCTGTGGTTTGTACTTGTTTAACTTTTGTCTAGTTTCTGAACATATATGAGGAGCTGTGAGCTCTGAGTGCTAACAGCTAACAGCTGTGTTGTTTTTCTGGGGTTCTCATTGAAGATGACGTCACGGCTCCGCCTACACTGCGTTACTATAGATACTACCCCAGTTCCTAAACTGTAATGGAAATGTGCCATAAAGTGAGCCAGTCCTAACGAGGCCTAGCCATACCGAGCGAGGCCGTGTAGTGGAAATGCGCCATTACAGTACTGGCCTGGCATATGTACTCCAGCACTTTCGAGCGGCAATGGCCGGCCGTGGCCCAACCCACATTCCCCTGATAGGTGGAGAGTTGGCCCAATAGCCGTAGCGCCACCGTCCTGACGTCAGTAACGTGTTCAAATCTGGATCAGTTTTTATCAGATCCGTTGCAGCCCCGTTTTTAGAGATTTGGGTATGGAGGAAAATAGAGAGGGTTGTGTTTTCTGACACTTGGTGAGTTCCCTGGAACACCGGGGACACATATTCATGTATAAAAGACGTACAAAAGTGCATTTTGCATGATAGGTCCCCTTTAAGAATGTCATACAGTTTCTAGGTCCAGTTTCTCTGTAGATAAGACTATAAGACTTTTTATTAGTCATTCACAGGTTAACAGGGTCAATAGTACATTCAAATATATTGGACCATATAACGGTTCAGCTCGGAAGTAAAAATGTGTGTTCGCAATAAGAGCCCAAGACTGTATAAAGATACAATAAAATACATTGACAATAAGATGGGATAACCTATCATACTATTTCAAGTGGAATTAACAGAGAATAATGAATGTACAGAAAAACACGAGTTTGTAGAAGAAGGCATTTTATTCCTCTGCAGGACTTGAAGTCTCCTGCTGGAGTGTTTTAGGTTTGAAGAGTGCTGGGCATTTTAGATCCATCGGCAGAGAGAATTTTAGCAGTGTGAGGCAATGGATCTGTTATTTGATTGGTGTCAGAGGAACCAGGATTCTCAGCTGTATCTGGTGGATTCCTTTGGTGGATTTGGTTCAGGGTCAGTCTTCTTTCTATGGTTTCTTTTCTCTTTTCCTTAGATTCTGCTTTGCCCTTGGCCTTTTTGCTTGAAGGGCTGTTTGTCGACTCACCCGCGCTGATCTTTTGTTCTTTATTACAATCACTGCGCTTCTCTTGTCCCTGGTATTTGGCACATAAAATACAATTATAATGCTATACAAAAAGATCATATGATAAAGTTTAAGAGGAGCAGTGCAGAACTGACAGACTGTGCTTGATAAATGAACGTAAGTTGGATCTAACCTTTTGATTTGTCCTTCCCTGTGGGTAACGTGCTATGCTATCCATCAACTTGAGAGTTTTGAGCCAGTCGTCATGCCAGCTCCTCACATTATAGTGTGACTTGCATTGACTCAGACGGAGCAGTATCATTTGATTCTCCTTGGTAATGCGGAGCAACTCCAGCTGTCGCTTCTCCTTGCCAAGGCTACAATGTAGAGTAAACATATGCTTTACAACTGGGGTTTTGGTTTCAGAGGCCACCTTATTTATTGGCAATACAACTTGTTGCCTGACTTCATTATGTATTTTTACACTGATAGCTCTTTCCCAACCTTAACTTACCTTTTTCGCTCATAATAATTCCTGTTGTCAACTCTTCCAGTTGTCTTCATGATGCGTGAAATTGTTTCCTCAAGCATATTGTTTTCCCTCGTCATTGTCCTTTCTTCTTTAAGCTTAGAGATATTATATATGATTGTTAAAAGAAACAATTTTCTTTTCTAAATTGAGGTTAAAACATCAGAATATCTACTGGGCTATTAATATCTTATGCTGCGTTCACACCGGATGCGATGCGATGTTTGGGGGCGGCGCGATTACATGTAAAGTCAATGCAGAGACGCGGACAGACGCGAATTCGCTCCGACGGCGCGCATGAAGCGGTGGACGCAGCGCAAATCACGCGATTGAGGCGATTGAACGGTGCCGCGTTAAACGCGAGAGTTCAATTTTTTCAACTCGAGCGTCAAATTCACGTGGCGCGTTCTCGCGGAAGCCAATCAGCGGTGAGGATCTCAGCCTGCCGTCACTGACGTTCAACCCATGGATGTATAATAAGAACTGGATACAGCGTGGGAGGCGGGGCCTCATTCATTCCTATGAGAGTTGCTCATTCGCGCATGATGATAAAATGGCCCAACTTTTGAGAGAGCGAAACGTCACAGATTACCCGGCATGCCTGAGAAGTACCCGTATGTGCGCTCATAGCGCATGCGCAACTTTAACCATGCCCCCCAAAATGCTCGTTCACATCAAGCACGTCAATTTGCGTACACGTAACAGCACCGCACGTTCATGACAGCATGGTAATGTTTGTTATGATAGATTTGATATTAACGAGGCGGCAGTTAGCAGCTAGCGGTTAGCTAGTAATTATGCTAATTTACACATCAATTATGTTATGTACTTTTATATTACGCTGTAACAGGATCTAGTGATATCCAAGCAACAGAGCTTCATTTAGCATGAAAGAATTATTGCACTGTATATATATATATATATATATATATATATATATATATATACAAGATTTAATCATACAGCCCATGTAGTATAATATTTTACAAATGATGAATTACAGCAAACATGTGCAATATATCCATTATTACAGCTCCGTGGGCTGGCAGTAAGGCGATATGGGTCCGTTCTTATTGTGCATCCATGGGTAAAGATAAACGCATGTAGTGCTGAACACGTAACATGAACGTGCCGGGCGGCGCGGTCCCGTGGGTTAGATGCGCGTTCATAATGCAGAGGGAAATAACTCTCAGAATAACGTTATTAGCACATTTTACAACTTGAGGAACGAATGTTTTTAATAAGGGCTATACAAGTGTTCATACTGGGTAGTTCATTTAGTTTAAAAAAAATTATCCAACGATTTACAGACCACTCTTTCCCCATGTAAGTCAATGGGAAAAAGTGTTTCCGGGCCTGGCAACCAAAAGGAAGTGTAGTACCGCCGTTTGGCCAGCACGAATATTTTCATCAGAGTCCGGCGCACTTCCTGGGGGCTTGGTTCAACCACACAACATCAGCCGTTAGCTGTTAGCAGTTAGCACACAGAGCTCACAGCTCCTCATATCTGTTCAGAAACTGGACAAAAGTTAAACAAGTACAAACCAGACTGTCTGTGCCATGGCGAATACAGTCGCTAGTTTATTTATGTCTGTAGGCCGTTGTTATGAGTGTGGAATGAGCATATACAACAAGCTTAGCCTGGTCGACCCGATCTTCATTCAGAAAACAAGCATTTTAAAAGATTTTTCGCCTGCCGTCTTATCTGCAGACTTGTCAAGCATTAATTCATGGTTTTTACTAACCGGTATCAGTATGTTGTTACTTCGGCATCATATTGAAACGTGTATTACAATTTAATCACGGTAAAATATGTTCATTTGTTGTAGTTGTAGCTCCCGAGCCAGCGCGTCTTGTTTGAATGATGCGAGTAAACACAGCTGGCAGCCGCGGTGAAACTCCAGCGTTTAGAGCGATGCGATAGGAGCGATTAGAGCGAAGTGAATAGTCGCATCGCGTCCGGTGTGAACGCAGCATTATTATTATAGTTTAATCATTGGATGATTTAAGCACAAACACATTTGTTCTGAGCCTATGGACATCATGTGAGTTGAGTTTAAAACATGTGGAAAAACAGCAACCTTTTTGGTCTTCAGTTTGTTGACAAGGTGACGATAGGTCTCTTGTGGAGTTGTGTTTATTGTTGGTTTGGCTGACCTCACCTTGGGAGAAAAAAAACAATTACATTTTGTAGAAACACCTCGTTTAAAGCACTGAATTATTCCAAAGAAGAGTTGGCTAATTGGGTGTTTGAGATAGGAATAAAAGCTTGAGGTGAAACATTAAAAATATGGGATTTCATAGCCAGGTATTTAGTCACTTAAAAAAACCAAATATTTGTCCTAACCTTTTCCCTGTGTAATTCATATGAAGCCTTGTCCCATTTCTGCTGCAGATGTTTGTTTCTAGAACGCATTGGATGGTAAGCCAGATGCTTAATTGTGTGCCTGTCAAGAAAACACATAAACAAAAGAGCAATAATACATGCTCCCAAACTCCAAAAATAAAACACACACATTTTACAGATGTATAGTTTTGATTAGCATTATGGTCCAGAGTTAATCACATAAAAGTGAGCAGTAAGCTACATAGCATTCAGGCCTCTCACCTCACAGTCATGGTTGCCCTGGTGTCTCAAAATCACAACTCTTCGTCTGCCCATAGGAGTGTGTTCATGCTCTGAAGCGTCCAGGTCGACTGGAGCTCAGACACTGCAGTCTGTTTTCTGCCAGTCATACATGGTTGCCATGACTGCAGCTGGAGAGAGCGGAGATGAATGGTTTCAAACGATGCTTGTTTAGCAAGTTCCACACAGAGAAACGCACACAGGCATAGAGATAGGCTAATTAGTGAGGAGGCTGTGCAGAGAGTGACTGTAAAACGAGCTGTAGTTCAAAGCTGAACATGAACTGGCATACAAACTGAATTTTCAAAATGTGTTCATGCTATTTTAGACCGCTCATGCCTGCAATGAAAATACAAAAAAATGTGACACCAATTTTTGAGCACTGGTCATACTTCTATTGAGACAGAGTTCACTGGATCTGATCACATTTATCATGAACATGAAATGAATAACTTAAATGTAGAAGTATAACATTTAATGAAAATGCATGACTTGATTGAATGAATGAGGTGAGGGGCGTAGGCTACTGTATTTTGCATCTAGCTGCATTAAGGCAACTACAGCCTTGGTGACAGTTACTGGGAAACATAACCAAACACACAACAGTTAATACAAAAAGACACCCACAGAAAAGCTGCTGGCATGCACCAGGGTAGGTTTATGTCTGATTATAGCAAGGGAACTTTAGTTTTTTTACAGTCAGACAACTATAATACATATACAAAACAACAGCAAATATACACATAGCACTGCATGCTATAACGTGGTATACTGTGTTGTCATGTTTTCATGTTAAATATCCAATATTTTTTCAGAATAGTACATCACAAGCGAGCATATCACCAAATATTTTTTGAATGAATCTCATTGAGGTGACTTCATGAATGAACAAATATATTACAACATTGCCCCCTACTGGCTTTGAAGATTATTCTTGAGCTAACAACTGTTAATAACTCAAATGCTATGCCAGACAACTAAAGCTCTTATGAAACTGTAATAGATCAGACTGTAATAGATCATTATGACACCCTTTTCATGCACCAACTGAATTCAATGCAAACAGGATTCTGTGTACTGGCAAAATGAACTCTATATTTATATAAAAAAGAACCTATATTCCCAACCTGTGCAGCAGAATGTCAATACTCAAAAAAATATGCTGGCAAATGATTGAACACCTATTCTTTAACGAGGATATCAAAGAATATGAGTTGTTGTAAAGCTGCCATGGCGAGGGCTTCTTCATGTCTGACGGATGTCTTCACAAGCCAATTAATTGTTCCCACCGCGGTCACATCTCAGTGCATAGGAAGAGCCCTCATGAATGAATTATAGGCAGTAAAATGCTTCCAGTCCAATTTATTACTTTGTTGTATTAGAAGAGACGTGTTGATGGGACAGATGGGAGATACAAGGGAATTAAAATAGGGACTGGGACTCAATATCCCACATGCTTTCCTCCTTTTCATCGTATTTCCAAAATATAAAAATGCCTTGTCAATGTATGTAGCCTCAAGTGGGGAAACGGCTAAATTCATATCCACTATAATGATTGAGGCGTGCTTCTATAATGTAACTTCTTTCATATTTGTGCCTACAAAACGACTTTCCATGTTTACTTTCTTTTCCACAATGACTCACAGTTGATGTCTTGTGATTGGGATATGTTTGTGATCAAGAGAAATTCATCTTTCATATTAAAAGTGAATTTAAATCTCTATGAGTTTACCCAAATGTATCACAATTATAAAACGCAAAATGATTGACTGCTTAAGCAATCAACCCTTTTCAAGTAAATATCAATTAGAAGCAGCTCTTTCAGCAGTTCCAGTCTATGTTTATAGGCCTGCAGCCACTAAGCATTTCTGGACTACTCCCCAGCTCTTCGTGAAAAGGTTCAAGCTATGTCAAGTAACATATGTTTTTGTGTGTGAAAAGCCAAGTTAATACCACAAATTCAAGACTAAGCTCGAGACCTAATGTGTTCCTGTGACGGCAGGCTTAATTTGACCCTTTATAATCACATACATTCACTGCAGCATGATGTTGCCACCATCAACTTTCAGGTTGAGAAAAGAGTGGTATATTTCTGTTTCCACCATACATCAGATTTTAATATATCACTAAAGATACATTTTTGTCTTATACCCACATGCATTCTGGCAATCACTAGCACAAACTCCACCCATTAACTCTACATGCCTAAGCTTGCAGGGAGCTGGAGTCTATCCCAGCACACACTGTGCGTACGACCAATTATAATACCATTCACAGCTTTGGGAAAAACATAGTCTCTACTGTGCTTCACATAACCTGTATGCCTTTGCTCTGTAGAAACAGGTGCACCCAGAGGAAACCCATACAAGCGAAGAGAGAACATGCAAAGACATAAAAGCACAAAAGAACATTTTTCACTACCCACACAAACACTTTGAGCATAGGCAGCTCTCAGCAGATTTACAGCTGTTGACAAAGAATGAAGTCAGACCTTCATTAAATAAGCAAAAGCACTTGATTACTCACACGTCATATCGATTCAACTTACAATATCACCTCTAAAAACAACCGGTTTCAGCATGGATTCTTCACAGGTGCTATTTTAAAGGGGGGAGAGGCTCAAGTGTTTTGTGATGATTTCTTTTTTTTCTTTTTTATCCCTGATTAAAGTTAGTTTTTTAATGATCACTGTGAAACAAAACTGAGTTATATCCATTGTCATTGAATGTGGTAACATACAAAATAAACATCTACAATACAAAATATAAATACTTTTTGTAGGCTTTGTGTGTATCATGTTCAATTAAGACGGGAGATAATGATGCTTTCAAGATGACAAAGCTTGTTTTCCTGTCCTGAATGGCTGGGGATGCTTCTAGTTCCAGGTAAGTCTCAATGGTGCACTAGTGGATCTTCCATTGCACCATCGTGGGAATAAGACGGTCTCTTTGGGATGGGAGAGGCGCAGGAAGTCCTGATACAAATAACAAAAACGTGTCTGTGCGTTTTTATGTGTAATGTTTTTAAGATGAAGCTAGTTTAATCCTTAAGCCTAGATGGACAAATGTATGTATGTGGAAAATAAAAACATTTGCAAATGAAAGGTGATCAAATATAGCCATTTGGTCTTTTTGTTACATTACTTTCATGCTACTCCAACAGCCATGGTGTATTTCCTTTGTCTTTATCCGATGGATATTCAAATCCATTACCATTACTATTTGATTATGTTATTTAATAGTTAGGCTTTTTGTAAGTACATAAAATAGTATAGCACAACTTTAATGAGCAATCCAATCCAATGATTTAAGGATTTTTTAGGCTTGATTTTACATGTCTATGTGTTTATCGCACTAAGAATGGCAACATTTCCTTCAATCTCATATTTTTTAAGTTTGCCTGTGGTCAGCCAGAACGTCAGTGAGATCCGCAGGAGAGTTGTTATTTTTTTAAATCTGTGTGATGGAAAGTGACTACGGTAACAGGTCCCAGGAGAAGATACTGTTGAGGTGACTGTATCACGCTGGCTCTAAGCCTCATTGTTAGGGTTACTGAACAGCTATGCGATGGAGGAGTTTCATAACTAAGCCTTATAAAATCACAAAAGAATATTGGTCTGTTGGAACAACCAAGCCTTCATTTTTTTTCCATGTGTACCCCTCACACCTCAGTTGGTCAAAATGTATCACTTCATTAACGTGGTGCGCTATGAATGGGGAACCTTTGCCAACAGAAGCTCTCTCCTCAATCCTTTAAAGCTCTCTTCTCCATGGTGATCATCTATCAGATTGGTGTTGTTGAAGCATAACAAACCCTGTCTTGACCTTTTTAAAAATAGAAACAGACATTAGACACATCTCGGGGCACACTACTTACTTCTTTCAGAGTTGGCCCTGTTCTACCTTTACCTCGTATGATAGGGCACGCTGTACATCATTTTGTAATGGTATCAAAAAATGCAGAAAACACTTTATGACATTTCATGTTTGACTTTTGCACGGGACTGTTATCTTTGCTCCATGACCTGCCCCCTGATTTGTGTGAAAACCTAAACCAGAATTATACAGTGGTTAACAGTCACAAAACGTCAACTCTAACCATATCTGAAGACCCTTCACACTTAATTTAAAGTTAGCAGTTTTAAAGTCAACACAATTTTCAGCTAATGGATGGTAGAATAGGTAACGACTCGAAGGCACGATACTCTCAGCCCTGCTGCTCCATTACTGAGCTAAAGAACAGTAGATGCCATGACTCTGAAATAGGCTTTATTCCTCTAAAAATGGCTCTTCTGAAGACCGTTTGTAGCAGTTGCAGTTCCTTCTGAATGCAGGAAGTTTGCCCCATTTTAATACTCAACCCCATACAGGCCTATATCCCAGATAGATATGTGCTATGAAAGGGTATAAATAATGAAAGAAGCAGTCTTTACAAGTTAAAAAAAGTGCTGTTGCATAACAGTGGAAAGAGTTTTGAGGATGATAAATGAATGGGAGTGAGGCCGAGTAGTAACATGTTGGACTAGTCGGCTGCAGTGAGCTAACACAAAAGCAGATTTATGTTCAGTGTAAATGTAACCTCGGATTTGTTCACAACTATAAATGTTCTCCTGTTACCCCTGGCAACTTCACCTCCTCGAACATCTCAGCATCTTGGTTACTGGCAAGGTCCCTCTTCCTTGTAACTTGGTTTAAAATCTGCAGAAAAACAACAAATTATCTCAATTAACATGAAACTGAAATATATAATCCTCCTCCATGTGATCCTGATTCTTATGATCCTGGTTGGCTCTAACTATGCACAGCTTTAAGCTGTATTATAATGTCAACCCCTTACTGTTTTCATGAACTGAGAACTTAACAACTTTTTTTTACCAGGCTGTATTTGTTTTAGTTGGGCATTTTAACTGAATTTCACAAAGGGGTTAATGGTTATTTTCTCGCTTTTGGGGCCAGCCTGAACTGGCCATTCAAGGATTATTCAGTTTTAGGCACTTCCTCATTGGAGGTTGCCTCTTGGTTTTAGTAGATGTTAAGTTATTTTTTTGACATGCAGACCGTTTTAAGCTGTCCTACTTTGCTGAATTGCAAACCATGACATTCACATGGTAGACAGATGTAAGCTGTAAGAA